TATATATATATATATCACATAAAACCCAACACCAGTCAGACTGAGGCAAACACTTCTCAAGGCATACTGCTCTAGATGTCTTCTGAGGTAAACATCTGTGCTGCTGTTTCTCCTTACCAGCTGAAGGTAGTGTTCAGGACCTGCAGGAGCAGCTGATAGGCTGAAGACATTAACTGGTATTCCTCCACATCTGTTGCAGGTCCATCAACAACGCCGTTGTTTTCAGATAGCATAATCTGTGAAAGAGCGAAAGCATGTGTGAGAATTTCTTAAAAACGTGATTTCCCATCTGAAGTCAAGACATTTAATGATTCGATACCTGGAAGTGGTTGTGGCAGTTCTCCAGGTGTGAGCAGAGAGCAGGCATAAGTTGGACACAACAAGAGGCAATATCCTTAGAGCTCCTTTGCTGGAGGTGGGAGAAGCCCACACTCTTATCAGTTCTTCCCTACACAGGAACATAGTTCAATAATTACAGTTAAATTATTAAATTTATACTGTATGAAACTATTGACTTTCAAGGACAAACAGGCTTAAATTAATTTGGTCTAAATAAATTGCTCCATCTGTGACTAGAATTCCTGCTACAATATATGAAATGTTAACCTAAAATGAGCAGTGTTTATTGTGACAGAGTATTTGTTTTCTCTAACATTGCTCCATAATGCTCGTTACTACTGTTGCTATGCTTTTTTCCACACCTTGAGGAATGGAGCTCTTTTGGCCGGGGCAGCTGTTAGACTAAACTCTAATTTGCGAAGCATATCCTCCAGGAGGAAGACGAGCTCAGCAGGGCCCAGCAGAACCTCCTCTCGCACCTTAGCAATGCAAAAACATTAGCTTGATTCAAATGGTGCACACGGTATAGTTGTAAAATACATTTAAGCAGCACACGTTTCCAAAAACGCTTATTTACCTTTGTGTGGAGCTCAGAGTCCAGCAGCGAGCGTGACAGCAGCCCACACTGCAGAACGCTAAGCACCTCCATGTCGAGCTCCCTAAAAAACGGTCTGTAGGACGCCAGGCTGACACCTGGCCGGATCTCCTTTACCTTCTCCTTTTCTGGCTGCTCCTTGATCACAAGCAAGTTCATGTTTTAGTTTGTTTTGCTTTAAACAAACACATGAGAGGGTCGACTTTGTGAGATGTTTACCTGCTGAGTTTCATCTGCTTCTGTCGCCTCTTCAGCCTGTGAGCTGCTTTCTGAAGAATTCTTACCAGAGGCCTTCCTTTTCTTTCCTGTGCCATCTAAATAGCATAACGAGGTCAATGTTATTATGTATAACTAACATACACATAACAGAAGCATATAAACAACGTAGGCTAAAATATTCTGTTACAGGTGGACTCACCTTTCTTTATCTTATTCACAGGAACAGTGGAATTAGGTACAATCCCATCTGTACTGTCTCCGTCAAAATTAGCAATAGGTGGCACATAGCCAGGTGTTCCTGAAAGTCAAAATAAAGTAAATTGTTAGTAAAACTGACACTGCAGGGCAGAAAAGAGGGGTTCTAAGTCCTTTTATTGTTGGATCAAAAACACACCTGCCAGAGCTCTCTCCAACAGTGTCTGAAGATAAGTGATGTTCTGCAGGCGAGTCAGTACTCTCATCTTCATATCTGTGTCTTTTTGTGTACAGAATGCATTTACCACCTGTGGAAAAACACACACAGCTTTAGGCGACAGTCACGCAGGCCTAGAGACCAGCCACTAGGGGAAAAGTGTTGCTGTGTGGCTTCAGTCACACATCTTGTCTTTTCCAAATAAGTGAACTGACATTAACATGCAGTTACCTCTCTGAACCAATTGATGGTGTGAAAGAGCAAAGTACAGAGGAACTCCCTCTCAGCTTTTGACAAGCTCTCAACTTTCTCTACTACGTCCATGTCTGTTAGGATCAGAGGGCACCCTGTAATGAAGCACATAAACACATAAGCATAAACTGCTTTATAGCCACAGTACCACACCGGTTTCCAAAAAGTATTCGTCACTCCCTCTTCCTCACCCAGAAGGCCGTCAATTTCCTCCAAGTCTCCCTGATGCCGCTTCTCCACACACAACCTCAGGAGACGGAAAAATGGGGACAAACACAGAGAAGACACTCGCCTGCTCCCACAAATACAACAAACAGGAAATATCAAATACAGTAAATACAATGAGCAAAACAGGTTATTGATTGAGCATTCTCTTATCATGGGGACGACTCACTTATGTGCCTTATTGACTTGATTTTGCAAATCTCCTTTGTTTTGGATGTCTTTGGCCAGTAGAGGCATCAGGTTGATAGCAATGCCTCCCTGATCCTCATCTTCATACAATTTGTACATTGCACGGGCCGGAAAGGGAAAGGACCTGAAAAAAAAAAAAGACAAAAAACAGGGTGGCTCAGTGATACCAATTATATAAAAATATAACTCAGTATGCTGAAAACAGTTACTACGTCATCATCACTGACCCTGATATTTCCGGGCCCAGGTCCACTACAAAGTCATCCTCAAAGTCTTGAAGGACACTTTTTCCAATCATGTCCTAGAAGAATAAAGAAAATAACAGGAAGGTTTCATCTTACAAAGTACAGTACAATCAGTTTTTACTTTAAAGTATAACGCGTACAGTTATTAATGTATAAAAACAGTTTTAAAAAGAAATAGAAACTACCACAAAGAAAGAAAATAATTAAAAGTTATGTCTGAGCAAAGACATCTTTGTAATCATATCCACTAACGCAGCGGTCCCCAACCCCCGGGCCTCGGACCGGTACCGGTCCGTGAGTCGTTTGGTACCGGGCCACGAGAGTTGAGGCTCAGGTGTGAAATGTATAATTTTCAGGGTTTTTATCGGTTTTCAGCATTATTTTGTTATCGTTTTTATCGTTTACTCGGTTTTCCTTGGTCTTTTCACGTGTGTTATGAATAAATTTTCTTTTTTTCGGTACTGGTACTAGTTTTATTTTGTTGTATTTATCCGCGACACCTTAAAGGCCGGTCCATGAAAATATTGTCGGGCATAAACCGGTCCGTGGCGCAAAAAAGGTTGGGGACCGCTGCACTAACGCTAGAATGTTGACCAGCTAACACCTATAGCTTCACATAATGCTACTTTGGACCTCATGATGAGACAGTAAATGTCCTCCAGTTTGCCTTCAGTACAACATGACAAACTGCATTTGAGAAAGCCTCTTAAGCAGCAAGAGCGAGATATTCTACATATTGCAGAATAAGAGAGACGGTTTTGTGAGTTTCTAAAACATACCTGGACCTGTGAGTCCAGAGTAGAGCTCAAAATCAGGTTGGCCAGTTCATCATAATAAAGAGCTGCAGCCTCAGGTGAGCTTTCACTGCTCGACTTCACCAGCTCCAACAGAGCCGTCACCTGCAGCGGGAAAAACAAACATAACTGGAGATCTGTGACAGACTTCAAAGGAAAAAAAATACTGGTTCAACCAAAATGAAAGGGTCCAAAGTTTGAAAGGTTCTGAAGTTTTTACAATGTAGATACACCATATATTTAAATACTAGCTGATCAAACACTGTTATCTTAAATAAAACAGGCAAAGATGTGGCAAAGATAAAAGAATAATGAGATTTTAAAGAGTAATCAATAAAAAAATCATTAGCACCACTTGTTTTAATGGCTAATACGTACCTGTCTGATTGTCTCCTGGGACAGCGACCTGCTCTGCGATTCCTTCGCTTTGGACCTGGAACAGACAAAAGAGGTTAGGGACAGAGTCTGCTGATGACACCGAAAAATTAAATCACAGAGTAAACAAGATGCTTATCTAATGTTTGCCAAACAAGTTTTTACCTGAAAGCCCCCATGCTGCCTACAATCATCACAGCACCAATGATGCCAATGCGCTTGTACTTGGGCACAGTGCTGGAGAGCTGTTTGCGGATCACTATGTGCATATCATCCTGTTTGGAATAAAACAGAAGAACACAGGTCAGTAGATGAGGGACAGTAAAAAATAAAAAAAGCAGAAAAAGTGTCCAAGGCTGGGCTGTCCAATATCTGGATCCCCTGAATGCGTGATTTTGCACCTGAATGTGAGATCCTTGCTTCTGTCCAAAGGCCAGTTTGCTCAGAAGGTGGAAAAGTCTTCGAATCTGCTGCGGAGTGAGGTTGTCCATGTAGTCCAAGATTCCCTATGTCAAATATCATGACTGGTTATAATCAGAACCAAAAACATTTTAAAAACACAGCTGCTGGGTAAGAAAAGCCATCATCCGCACGCTGCTTGCTTTGTATATTTGATTTGCAGCTACAATGTTTCGATCGCCTCGTCACCTTGACAAAAACAGCATACATGGCCATTTCCGAGGGTTTCTCGTTAACCAGACCACAGAGCAGCTCCAGAGCTACGTCCACCTCTCCACCCACACCACTGCACACGTGGGTCACGAGAGAGCCCACCACCTCCTATTAAAATACCACGGGGTTGAATTACTCAGAAGAATCTGTATTTAGAAACATTTACGCATGATTCAAATTATTCTCAAACTCACCTGATGGCAGTAAGAGTCAAACGCAGTGAAGGCATGTAGGTACATGTTTCCTCCGAAAGGCACCACGCAGGGGTCGGGTGAGCGTACCAAACTCTGAGCTAAAGCAAGGGTGGAGGGGAAGTACCCTCGCATGACCTAAAAGAAGAACAATAATAAATACAATGAAGTATTAAAAATTAAAAAAAAAAAAAAATTGCACTGGGCTTGTGTTCTTATATTTAAGCTTCTATTTCTACAGGCTGACCCACCTGAGCGTAGTCCCTGAAGGTTCTCTGTAACAGAGCCTCTTGGATCAGTCCGTTTCTCACTTTGACCTTCAGCACTCTTTCTGCCCCCCGTCGGCTCTGGTTGGCATTGGTGGAGTGAAGAATGAGCAGCACCAGGAGATCCATGACCTAACATGGCAAAGCAGAAATATTACAAAGAGATGCCTAAAAACCTTAATGTGGTGTATAAACAGGCTTCCTAAATGTCCTCCTTCAAAATGTTTCCCATAATCCAACTGTGACAGTTGACATCAGTAAAGATGAGTAACAACATGGTCTAGTAGGTGCATGTACACATGGTGGTGGACTCAAACAAGTCACTATGATAAGCAAGAGAAATTAATTTCTGTAAAATTATCCAGATGTTATGAAGAAATGTGCTTGAAATGTTAAAAGTAACTATCCAATAGCTTTCTAATAGTGGAGACTTTTGGATGCCCGTGGTTCTCAAACTTTGATGATACAGAAGCTAAAATCACACTCGTCACCCCAGAATGTTTTAAATCTTTCACTAAATACAAAATCAGCAGCTTAACTGCATAAATTATATTAATTCAACTTCTTCTTATGTATACAGCCATGAATTTTTCACCTGGTGACCCATGGCCCCCTTCTGTTTGAGAACCAGTGTATAGACCTAAGAATGGGACCAAGCCGTCAGTTAGCATTCTTTGGGAATATGCTGAACTTACCTTATGCCCCTCCACCTCATCCACAGACTCTATGGCCTATTAAAAAAAAACAGAGAGAAAGAGAGAGAGAGGGGGAAAAGTACATTTAAGTCACTGACACAAGCAATTGACTCAGTCAGTTAAGTGAGGGGACATAAGAACATTAGTTCATTTCATACCTTGATCCAAGCCTCAGAAATGGTTTTCTGGAATCGCACTGCAGACTTGATGCAGTCCAGTATCAACGAGATGCTGTCCTGGCTGCTGCCAGCTGCTGCCGCGGAGGCAGACCTGCATCAAAAACATCAAAAACTGGATCACATCACCAACAAACCACATTTATTACTTCAAAACTTCAGGTGTGTCACATGTACCCTAATACTGGGCTATAAATTAATTGTTATCTTACCCGCCTGGTGCTTTGCTATTCATACGACTCTGAGAGACTTGCAGCACAGGCGGAAGGACGCATTGCTCAAGCTCCAGCTTTTTTCGAAGATTACAGACAACCTAAAAACAAGGAACCACTTCTCATATCCATTCATTTAGTAAAATTATGGTGTGTATGGGGATTTTTTTGTATTGCTTGACCACTCTGACCTCGTATGCATCAGAGGCCGACACAGAGTGCAGGATGAACTTGACCACTACGGGGAGGTCCTCTAGCTGCACAGCAGCCAGCGTGGCCATAACAGCTCCACGGACCTGAAAAGCCAGAGAAGCAACAAGTAAGAACGCATTGCTACCAGTGCACATGTGTGTTTATATGTGCATGTGTACACTACCTCTGTCAGCAATGAAGATGCGAGGTTAAGACTAGAAAGGGCATCCAGGATGGGAACGGTCAACTGAGTCTTCTCCTGGAGTAAAGAGCTGCAGAGAGGAGGGGTATTAGCAGCAACCTTAAAACACAGATTGACCACAGCACATGTGTGTTAGAGATTTAGTGTACATACTTGAGCTCCCTGGCTATATCATTGTGCTGGGCGTCTTCCAGTATCTCTGGCAAACTGGTGATGATGTCACACTGAACCTCCGCCGGAGCTACTGACACCAACTCCATGAGCTTCGACGCCAAATCCTGCAGGAAGATAAATAAGCACAAAAGAAGAAACATGTGATTATAGGACAAACTCAACAGGCCAGACATACCTTCAATTACAAAAGCAACAAAACCTGTCATCAAACAAATGATTACCTTAGTGTCCACAACTCTGTCTAGCCATTTGAGTTGGTTAATAATAATGCGTGGGATACTAACTCCTCCATCGCTGGTACTATGGAGTAGAGAAGACAGTTAGATTTTTTTTAAAGACATATTAAAAGTATTCCAAATTTTAAACCAAAAAATTGTGTAGTACATCAAAATGTCAGGAAATACTGACCTATCTAACATATACTCAGGGAGCTTCTCAAGCAAGGTGTTAATGATGGAAGTCTATTAAAAAAAAGGACAGGTGATTGGGGATTTGTGGTAGTGTATTTGTACTAATACATACTGCTTTTCATTTTGACTGTGCTTGTGAAAATGCAGTTTTCATTTAGAGGTCATCACAGAAAATCTCACCTGTAACATTTCAATCCCCAACAACATCCGCAGCAGGCTTTCCTGGAATGAACTGACAGAACTGCAGCACACATGAAAACATATCAGTTTTATTAGCTTAGTCCAACTTCTAGCTGTGTCCTCGATAATTTATGGAGCTGTCAAAAGTAGCCTTATAATTCATTGGTTGTTTATGGGATGTTTACCTGGAGTCTCGATTAGACGACTGTGGGATGCATGGAAGAAGGCAGTTCCTAAACCTGTCAGTGTTCTCCATATATGACTCCAGTGCTGTGATGAATTCTTGAATGATCTAAGAGATGAAAAGTAGGAATTTAGAGGGAAATGTGTTTTTTGTTGTATTTTTGTGTTTACTGTAGGGTTGTTGTACGGTTTATACTCACACCAGGATACCTGGGGCTCTTCTGAATTTGCTGCTGTATTCGTCTCTGAAATACTACTTGGTCAACACCTGGAGAGGGATAAGACCAAATGTAGGTGAGCATCTCATTTCATTTACAGCCCTGCTTTGTTTCAAAACTGAATTGAGTGCGTTTACCTATCTCGTTAGGCATGCCGCCCTGTCTCAATGTGACACCGGCCACTCTGACAAAGTCAACAAACACACACTGACTGGTCTCCTCTGGGGCAGCTTCCTTAGACTGGCGACCAGCGCTGCGACTCTTCTTCACTTCTGAAAACAGATATAAACCTTAAAAAACAATATCACAGAAAACAGCAATACAGCTTCTCTCGCGGGAAACTGTGTCAACATAGGTGCTACTTAGCTCCCAAGACTGATGAATTTTTTGGGAATACATGGAGAAACATGCCTTATACACATACACGTTTTAAACTTACTAGGTGCTGCAGGAGCTCCCTCTCCTTTATCCACGGAGGAGCGTCGCTTTTTGCGCATCATCTGATGAAATATGAAGGACAGAAGGCTGTTAATAGCTATATTAGGCTACCAGACACACACAGGGGAGTTAAAAAAGGAGGGGACGGTAACCACTGTCGCTATAATAAACGACACAGTTCAATAACTTTTACACAAACGTGCTTTAACATCATGTCGATATGAAATGTTCTGGTAAGGTTGACAGAAATGTTTTTATGAAAAATGGTAGACATACTTTTACTGAGCAGACGAAGCCACGGACGACCAGACACCGAAGTTACAAAACAAACTTCCGCGCCAAACAGCTCCGCGTCATCAGTGTCGTCACACTCGCGCATCCTATTGGCTGCTAGAAAAGCTCAGCCATAACTGCACCGTTATAGGTCACTCTGTTTACTGATCTGTGTGCTGTACTTTACAGCAGTCCGTCAGTAATGTGCAATATTTTCATTTTCAAACACTCAGTCGGTTTGTATGAGGTGATCATACTTAAGCGTTTGGGACTGGATACTTAATAACTGAACAGGCTTTACGGGTCGAGCAACTCCATCAAAGAGTACACTGGATCAAGCTATTGCAGTGCCCCTTGCTTTCTTCTTCGTCTCTCATAGTTTGCCGACAACATTGTCCCGCTAATATTTAAATTTATTAAGTTAATACATTACTTATTTACATAAAAAATATATATTAATAAATATCGGTTTTATAAGTAAATTTTTATTAAAAATAAATAATCATATTTATACATGAGCCTGTATGGAACCCCACAATATTTTCATGACAATACATTAGTGTGTATTTTGACAGTTCGCCTACAAAGTATTTGCATGTACATTCAGCTTTAACTGTGCTTATTGTATACTTTCTTTATTTTTTTTACTTTTTTGCTCTCAACTGATGACATGCAGATGCAGCTCAAATAGCTGATTTTGTTTCCACAGAAAATTTAGAAAATGTGGGCTAGTTCTGAAGAAGCACCAAGGTAGGCCTGGCTTTGCACCTGCAGCCAAATTGGAGCAGTGGAAAAGAGGCAGGACACAAATGTGCAATCAATACAGACAGTGTCCATGTGCATATCAATTCACATGTACACACAGGTTCTCAGGGGTGTTTGGAGCAGGTTATCGCCCTGCGTGGTATACCAGCCCACTAATTTCAGGGAGTGAACTATCTTGGCAGGCAATACAAGCTCTTTCACCATATAAAGCTGGTCCAAAGAAACAGAAGAGCGCACTGTGTTGGTAGCGAAGAAGGCATCTGCTCTACCAGAAGAAAGGAGGAAGAAAAGAAAAGAAAACAATGGCTACAAGTTTTTACGACCTCACGGCCAAACTGTTGACCGGGGAGACGTTTAATTTCTCGTCCCTAAAGGGCAAAGTCGTCCTCATTGAGAATGTCGCTTCTCTCTGAGGTACGACCGTCAGGGATTACACCCAGATGAACGAGCTCCACGAGCGGTACGCCAGCAAGGGGCTTGTGATCTTGGGAGTACCCTGCAACCAGTTCGGCCATCAGGTGAGAAATTTATCCCGTCTATCTGCGCTTTGGAGCACATGGCTAAGGCCTTTCTATCCCGTCAGTCTAGAAATAATCATTCTGTAAGTGTCATTACTCTAAATTTCCTGCTTTCACCGTTAATTTATCATATTTTCCCGGAAATGGCTGACTTATTTGTATTTAATCAAATTAGAGGAAGTCATTTCCACCCCTTATTTAAAGGTTTAATCTTGTATAGTTTCCAAGCTTACTGGCAAGTTTTAGATCGGGCTTTAGTATAATATTAGTCAGCTTGTAAGTACAAGAGACACGTCTAAAGCCATAGGTTATTAGTGCTGTTATTATATTAGCTGAAAGCGCAAAGCATTGGTGACTTTTAGGAAGGAGGGAGTTGTGGCTGTGTGTGAGATTTTCGTCTTACAACAAAGAGTTTTTACGCAATATGAAATATACTTTAAAATGGTTAATATTTTATAAGGCGCTGAAGGACTACACAGGTTATTGTTACTAGTTACTTATTGATAGTTATTGGTGGGATTCAAATAATATTGAGTACTTGCTGTAGGGAACAGGGAAGTTTGTATTTTCTGGTTCTTCCCGATAAGAATGAGCCAAGAGTGTAACTGTGTGCAGGAGAACTGCAAGAATGAAGAGATCCTCCTGTCGCTGAAGTATGTCCGTCCTGGAAATGGCTTCGAGCCCAAGTTTCAGCTCTTTGAGAAGATGGACGTGAACGGGAAGGACGCCCACCTCCTGTTTGCGTTCCTGAAGGACAAGCTTCCAACACCCAGCGACGACGCAACGTCTCTGATGACCGACCCCAAGCTGATCATCTGGAGCCCGGTGTGCAGGAACGACGTGTCCTGGAACTTCGAGAAGTTCCTCATCGGGCCGGATGGTGTGCCGTTCAAGCGTTACAGCCGGAGGTTCCTCACCATCGACATCGAGGGAGACATCAAGAAGCTCCTCAGCCAGACGAATTAAAACCTCGTCCTAAATGCTGAAGCAGCCTGCAGCTTAGCACTATGTGTGTGTGTGTAGCCTTCATAACGAGAGAAACACCACTGCGCTTACAGCTTCAATAGATGCCACCTAAACTCACCACCTGTGCTCTCCTGTACGCAGTAGCTGTCTCCTGCTTTCTTTTTTTTTTACTAAATGAAGAAATCCTCTGAAACCAAACTGTGAGGAGGATATCTGATGAAATGTAAAAGGCAGGACTGTTTTATCTCTTCAAAGCTGCGCTGGGTGCATGTAAAGCACAGCTGTGGTGTCAAGTTTAAAGGGGATCAATAAATATATTTTTTGCAAACATTTCTCTGACTCCCAATTATATATATTTATATATATATATTTTCTTGTTTAAAGGTCATATTTGAGGAACTATTTTGTCAGCTTAATCTTATTAGCATATCTAAAAATACTCAGACATTTTCTGTAAAGGAGGGCTGGGGAAAGGTTATGAGTGGTAGATTATTCATCCACAGGCAAGTGTTGGCTTTGTATATAGCTACAGTACACCTGATTACAGGTGTGTTTCCTGTGCTTACATGTAATTGTACATCAGAGTTCCTTTTGCAAACAGTCAGCATTACTGGCAGGCAATTTAGGTTGCATCACCTGCAACCAGAGGTAATTATCTTAACACAGACAGCAGTACTTACAGCTTCAGCGTGAAGGTTATATTGCATGCAATTATTCTAAACAAAGCACCTCATTGAGGACTTGAGCTTTATTACGCTTTGTATCAAAGTACATTTAAGTATTGCATCACCTGAAACCAGAGGCAATCTGTGTTATATTGCAGTGCATGTCCAAACAAGTGAGCTTGTTGAGGCTTCCAGTCTTTATTGTAATTTGAATTCAAATATTTTTCAGTTAAAAACAAAACTGCAGATATCGGCAACAAGATAAATATGAGAACAATCATTTTTACACCTATTTAAAATAGTGTTGATTATGTACAGATAGAGTTTGAACTGCTGACATAATTTTGGGTGGATAAGAAGACAAGATTTTCTGCTGCTGAACTGTGTTTTCAGTTACATATCTAGATTACAGATATAAAGCTTTTCTAGTTTTAGGCATAAATGATTGTTTAGGTAGTTTGAACAACATGATGATGCCAGGACCAACCAGCAGGGAGGACACCCAAAGGCCCTGTATGTTAGCGTGCCATTATAAAACCAGGTGCAGATTTATGCCCCAGAACAAGCCTTGTGGGATTACATTATATTAAGTGTTAACTGTCACAAGTAAATGTATTCTAGTTTTTACTTGATCACATTCAAAACATCCAGTCACCACTTACAAATGTGCTCCAGGGGATTGTTGTGTATGTCTGGCCTTCAATAATATAAAATAAAAGAATCACTTTCAACTTTACTTAAGAGCCAACTGCTGTATTAGTATCACTGGAAGGAAAACTGGCTCAAAGTGCCTGCATTCAGTGAGAATGCTGTTAAATGACTGCTTTCCTCCACCCCCATCTGACATCTAACACATTTTTCCTCGTGATAAGGAGCAAAGTTCAAGTTTCATGAATAAAGCACCACTTTTATTCTAGTTTATTTCGCTTCACTCAGTGTGCTTAGAAGATATCAAATATCATAGCCATTTCAATACAGAGCTGCATTATTGTACAAGACTAATTAGGACAAGCTATCGCAAGTGAACTAAGGGTCCGGTCAGGCAGCTTAAAAGACACATTAAAATTATGTGGACGCATATGACAGACCAAACCCTTTAATGCTAAAGGCCTAACCATACACTTCCATGATCTCTAGATACACCAGAAGCAGGTAGATTTTCACGGAGAATTCAAAGTGCCTCCTTTTTAAACAGGTTGCAGGAATTGAAAGGCCGCTTTTTTCATTATGATTACAAAAAAGAAAAAAAAGAAAATACAAATTGTGAGCAGGGTAAGACTCCTCTCATGAGTTTAGGGCCCCGAGAGCAGAGCCCGTGCTGTGCATCAAAACATATTCGGGGGAGAAAAAAAAAACAAAAAAAAAAAAAAACAACTCATGGCTGAACTAGAGCAAGGCCAAAACAAAAAAAAAAAAAAAAAAAAACCCCCCAAAACAGCTTCTGCCACAACTCATGTCAAGATCTAGATGTTAGGGACCTTGAAATGAGACACCCTCTCTGTGGTCTAGATGCGGCACAGATCCACTGCTACCGGTAGTCTGAAGCCGAAGGATCCCCTCAGAAATAGTTTAACTTTAAACAGGTGGCATAAGGTAACAGGATTCTTTCAACAAAGAAGGTGCCATGTACTGTCATGTGTGCACATCACACTGCTAAAATTTACCTTAGCACAGCAAGAATATGTGAGATAAATCTAGGCACAAAGCCAGCATCCTGGAAACACATCAGTTTGTTCATTTTATCATAAATAGCTTGTATCGCTTTGGTTGAAACAAATGCATTTGGCTTTTTGTTTTAAATATTTCTGACTGGTCTTGTGGGCAACAGAAACATTTGTTTATCTATATATTTGAGGGCACTTCTAACCTTAAGTTTCTATATTCACTTATATTCCTCTTCAATCCAGACTAGCAAACTACTTTAAGAAATCAGCAGACCACCCGCTGCAGGGAGGAAAGTCTCACAGTTCACTCTTATGTCAAGGCTGATGGCTGTAGCTGACAACATATGAGACAAATCAAAATACAGGGAAGGTAGGATTAATAATTTTATGTCTGTGGAATCCTCTGCCACTAAAGTAGCTTTGTGTGTGCGTCCGAGTGTCTCTATTTGCCATATGCATTTCAGTGTGTGTCCCTTTTCATCTGGGCTTCCTAATTTGTGTCCATGTGGTCTTCGGCTGGCTCCGGGGCTCCTCCCAATGACGCCGAAGGTTGAGGTTTAGAGGGGCTTTCTTCGTCTATGCGCTGATAGAACAGCACGTAGGCGGCTTTAGTCTGTAATGGCACAACACGGGTAAGATTACATTACTAGAAGAGGAATACTTGACACCAAAGTCAACACACCAGCAAGTGTCAGTACTCATCATTCTTTCACTTGAAAGACTAAAGAAAACAAACACCCAGTGAGCACCAGTACACAACACTGAAAACTCACCACAATCTGATCCTCTGTGGCAGATGAGACGCTGCTGTCATCAAAGTAATACCACTTTCCATCCACTTTATTCTTGCCATAAGCCGTGTCTGTTACACAGAGACGGTGTAAGGTTAACGCATGACTTTTCAGGAATTTTGTTCAGGAAGACAAAAGTCTGATTACACTGCTTCACTATGACAAAAGATGGCATATCAAAGAAAAATAAACTGAGTGTGAGTGCACAATGAAAACAATGATGTACGAGGCTCTACGCCTTATTACATTTTAACCAAATGCAGCGTCCTTGGAGACAGAGTGACTTTCTGAGCACCCCATCTGCTGACACATACTGTGTTCATGTTTAAAGGCTAAACAAACTGCGACCAGCAGTTGGCATCAAAGACTACATAGGGGAAATTTCATTGTATAAATTAAATGCTGACTTACAGTGACCCCCTCCCATTCCTCCATAGTGGTTTGACACAGCAATAAGGTCGTAGATGTAGGGGCCGGCCTTAGGGTCACACACAAACT